CCTTCTGCTGCATCCCATGTCTCACCTGCTCTTTCCCTTCTCTCTCCCTGGAATGTGAGATCTATGACAGGTTAAAAATGTCTTTTCAGGTGGTTTTTTAAGGATATCACAAGGAAAGATGCTGAAAGACAGCTTCTGGCCCCAGGAAACAGCGTGGGGGCCTTTCTCATCAGAGAAAGTGAGACACTGAAAGGTAGGAAGTGGTTCCGTCTCCTGCTGAGCACGTATAGAAGATCATTTTCTGAAACTTGTCTGGAATTACACAATTAAACACTATGTGGAAGTTTTAGAGTTGAATAACAAAGAAGAAACTCCTGTTACTTGTTTTATAACTGAAAGGAAAAGTTAATATAATTATGGCCATTTCTTCCCATACTTTATATTTGCTACGCCCCTTGTTATGTAGAGCAAATCCCCAAATTTTAATAGACTCAAGAAAACTTTGACTCTGAAATATAATAGTAAAGAATAAATAAAATGAAGAAGGGAAAGAACATGTTGGTGAATTCCATCGCAAACAAAATGCTAGCTTGTCAACTAGATTTTTTTAAGACTTTCATAATTATGCCTTATATACAGCTTACTGTGTATTTGGGGTATATTTCCTTTGTAGGATGCCTACCGCAGTGATGTGAATGTGCTACTGGTAAACCAGAAGTGTAACTTCACTTACATTTTTTTTCTCTCACAGGAAGCTTCTCTCTATCTGTCAGGGATTATGACCCTGTGCAGGGCGATGTGATTAAGCACTACAAAATCCGAAGTCTGGACAATGGGGGTTACTATATCTCTCCACGAATCACCTTCCCCTGCATCAGTGACATGATTAAGCATTATCAGAGTAAGTGAAACTGCAGAGGGACAAATAAAGTAGTTTTATTATGAGACATGCACCATAGCAGCAGCAGTGGGCTGGAACTTAGCAGTGATAAGGATGATGGTAAGAGACTGGGTAAGGCTGTGCTCTTATGTGTGAGGTCACCGCGGGTCAGAACTGACCTCGGTGACAGCTAATAGCAGCAACGTTCAGCATTATGTTTACATTAAAGTTTTTATACATTGTATTTTTATCCAAGGAAATTATACTATAATTTTCCTTTAAATATCAATTCTAAGTAAAATTTGATCTTCAAGAATAATTATCCCAGTCCTTCTTACCATTACTCCTGTTTGAGAATTTACAATGAGATATTGTTGAGAAAGAAATGAATATTATTTACATATTGTGCATACATTTTTAACTGAACTAGGAACAGAGACTGGCTGGCTTCTTTCTCTCTGTAGATCTGTGTGTGTGTGAGTGTGTATATGTCCATGTGTACACTTATGTAAAAGCAGTTCTGGTAAAATGGAAGAAAAACTAGCAACAACAAAAGAACAAAGTATCTGACCGTGGTGGGTTAAAGAGCATCTGTCCCCAGTGTCCCTCTCCAGCCCTGCTAACTGAAGCCAGGACAGGCCTTCATGTTCATTCCTTGTGTGGCTGAAACAGATAGCAGAAGATAGTTGTTACCACTACTTATTCTACCCCTTTGTCTTGGGGAAGATGTGTGACAAGTATATAAACTGAGCTGAGATTTGGACAGAGCACAGTGCCTAGGGTTTGTCCACCCCTCCGAAACTTCCTGTCATCCTCCCTGGCTAATTCACCCAACACATGTGTAGAGTGCTTGCTGGTGCCCAGCCTTGTCCTGGGGGCTGGGCATCCAGTGACGTGCGTGCCAAGTCTCTGCCTCTGTGCCCTGTAGTGCTGACAAGCGTTTATTAATCGCACACCACATGGTGTTCAGTGGGACCACCTGTTGGCCTCTGCTTGTTGGTTTCATTTGTAGTTATTCTTTTATTTATTAACAGTTAATCAAATTTCTGTCAAATCAGTTTTGACTCATGGAGATCTCACCTGGCACAAGTAGAAATGGACTCAGAATTTTCAAAGATGTGACCTTTGGAAGAAAAATGCCAGCAATTTTGAGATTTCTCTGAGTACATTTGATTCTCCAGCTAATCAAACACTTAAACCATTTCCTCTATCCAGGGACTCCATTATGTTAGCCACACTAATTTTAAATTTAAGTTATATTTTCTATTTAATGAATCTGCTGGTAGCCTAGTTCATAAGGAGTTGTGTTGCTCACCCAAAGGCTATGCCTCACTGGTGGTTCCAATCCATCTGCGGCCCCTTAGAAGAAAGAAGGCTAATCTCATCCCAGAAGATTTATAGCTTCAGAAACCTAACGGAGGGTCAGCTGAGTCCATTCCCGCTTAGCAGCAGTGAGTGAATGAGTGAGTGAGATGTGTTTCAGAATTTCAAATGTTAGGTGAAAGAAGACCCATAGCATTATAGATTCATAGACTGTGGCAATTGGAATGAATATATAAGACTATCCAAGTTTTTCTTTACAGATGCTGGTAAGATACAAAATACTACTTTTTTTGTTTGTTTCAAATTTTAAACTTGATTTTTCCTTTCACCTTAGAGCAGTCGGATGGCCTGTGCAGAAGACTGGAGAAGGCGTGCATCAGTCCCAAACCACAGAAACCATGGGATAAAGACGCCTGGGAAATCCCGCGGGAGTCCATTAAGTTGATGAAGAGGCTGGGTGCGGGCCAGTTTGGAGAGGTCTGGATGGGTGAGTGTGAGCTCTGTATGCGTCCACTCTGGAGGCAACAGCAGGAGCAGAAGGGCACAGGCCAGTTCCTGCATGTTTTTTTCTTGGCCAGCACAGAACTGGTCAGAAGGCTCATTTCTTTTGCTTTTCTCTCGCTAGGAGCTGGCCTACAGAGAGCTTTCACAAGCTGTGTGCTTAGACTCTTTCTTTCCTCTGCAGCTTAGTACTTCTCCTTTAGAGTTAGCATTTATAGGAGAAGGTAAGCCAGGAAAGCCAGACTCACCGCTGCTGAGTCATCTCTGTCTTATGGCAAGCTTCCATTGTGATTCTGAGGCTATAAATCCTCACAGAAGGAAACTGTGCATCTTTCTATCTCAAGAGTGCTTGGTGGATTTGAACCACAGACCCTTTGATTGGCAGCTGCTTTGTTAATGCACTACACTGCCAGAGCTTCTTATAGAAGAGGACTTCTTCTCATCCATCATGCTTCTCTCATTGCCCTGTTCTCTGACACCCATGTTAACTGCTGGAAAATTACTTCTGTCTTTGGGAAAGTGTATTGAGTTTAAGAGCCTCCTTACCAGTAGCCTTTTCAGGGAGCTCTGGCGGCATTGTCCACAGCTTGTTGTGCTGCTAACCAGAGATGGTGAAGCTCCAGTGGTTCAAATCCGTCAGGGTCATTTTGGGAGAAAGATGGGAAGTCTCTTCCCATTAAGGTGTGCAGCCTTATGCTCGCTTTGGCAGCACATACACTAACTTTGGAACACTGCAAAGAAGATTAGGCCCTGCACAAGGATGACATCCAGACTCTTGAAGAATTCCATGTTTTGTGTGATTGGAAAGGGAACACGTGGCTTCCAATGTTGAAACTGTTCTTCCTACAACAGAAATAGTCACGTCATCAGTCTCTTTGGAAAAAAAAAAGCTGTGCTGCCTTGGACACATGATGGAGGGTCAGTATGAGTTTGACTTTTATCAGTGGACTTAATAGGAACTATCACATTTATTACAATATGGAGGTTGTCCAAGAATTAACCTTAGAAAGGTCCAAATTCCACCCTGAATGGAATACTTCTCAGTTTAAATAGTGACTCTCACCTTGCAAGAAGTACACTAAAAAGTAGCAATGGTTTGCTCTCAGGAACTCGATGTTTTTTTCTGACTTTTCTAGCATTTTCAAAGTAAATTCTGTTTCTTCTGTGATATAACAAAGAAACAAAGTGTCATATTTATTCATGGTTGTAATTAAAAGTGTAATTACTTCTAGGAGGGTAGCGAGTTGGGTCACACCCATTTTACTAGGTCACCTTTTTTATGTAAACTTTGTCAAGTGCAAGACGACAGGATTTCTGAAGCAAGAAGGGGGAGGCAGCTTAAGAAAACCTCCAGGAGCTCCTGCTGACTAGAAATGAAAGGCTTTTCCAGTATGTTGCAGCCGAGCGGGAGTTCATTTCTGCGTCCTGAGATCTGTGAAGGAAGGCTTTCTCCTCTACAGTCTTGATGTCTGGGGTCACAGCCCTGTCCAGTGTGTTGTGCTGCCACCACTTCACCCCAAGTGCCGCTAAGCCCTGTGGATACTGACACAGACTTGAATGGACTCTGACAACGCTGGGAATAGAGTACAGAATTACAGCTCAGGGTAAGAATGTCATTGCACCATCATCATTTTGATTGGCATCTCTCAGAACCAGTCAGCCGTAAATTTCAGGTACACGTCATTTCCTGGCAACCACCAGTCTGCCTTCTATCTCTATGAAATGCATGCAAAAGCTGGGCAATGAATAAGTAAGGCTGATGAAGAATTGATGCCTTGGAGTTGTGTTTGTAAGAATATTGAATATGGATTACCAGAAGAACAAACAAATCCATCTTGGAAGAAGTGCAGCCAGAATGTTTGTTAGACTTGAGAATGATGAGACTGAGTATGTCTTCCCAACTCATTTCAGTAATCAGCAACTCCTGTCTTCTTTTCCTGACCTCCCACATCAAGACTTCTCTCTCCATCAAGAGCGTTATTGTGTTGTGTACTGTAGAGTCAGAACTGACCCATAGCTGACACCCCGGTGGGTTTTCAAAGGCAGTTAGTTAATTGAACAAGAGGAGATTACACATCCTGTGGAGCAGCTTGTGGCCTTGAACCGCGTGCCTTAAGGACTGGAGTGCAGCTTCTTGCCACTAGGCCATCAGCACTCCATCAAGAGTATTGGCAGGTAATTTCATCTGTGTGCTCTCTCATATATGCTTATCATGCCTTTGAGTGGAGAATGTCTCTTGCCCTTTGGGCTTGTTATCAAGTGAGACCTTGCTTAATGGTCCGTGAAAAAGAGGAAGGCACTCACTGGGAGGGACCAGCAGAGCGGCTCCAACACTGGATGTCAGAGTGGAAGAGATTGTGAGGAGGCATGTGTCTCTGTTGTGCATAGGGTCGGTATGAGACAGAGCTGAGTTGATAAAGCCTCACAGCAATAATAAGCCTTGGTTTAATGGAACCCTGGTGACACAATAGTTGAAGCACTTTAATGCTAACCAAATGGTCAGCAGTTTGAACCTTCCTGCTGCTCTGTGAGAGAAATATATGGCAATCTGTTTCCACAAAGGTTTCCAGCTTTGGAAACCCCATGGGACAGTTCTGTTCTGTCCTTTGGGTTCATTAGAGTTGGAACTGACTCAGTGGTGGTAGGAGTGGAAACCTCAGTTTCCTCCTCAGTAGAATAGGTGGACAACTGTGCTAGAAAGGTGGATTGAGATTACACCCCTAAAACGTTTTCCAAAGACCTTGACTCAAAATATTTGTTATTATTTTTATTTTACTATATTTGCAATTTCTGGAAGCTATATTTAATGGATTTTCCTCAATTTTAATCAAGAATCCAAACTGACTATTCCTTCCAGTGCATACTGCTGCTGTAGAAATTACGTAACTGGCATGAAGTGAAAAGTCGTGGCTACTTAATCTTTCCATGCTTGCCTACTCAAAAACACAGTCACCCATAAAAATGTGGTGATTTGGAAGTTTATTCCAATTTACCAACAATGTTTCACTAGGAAAGAAGGACAAAAGACTCTAACTTCATCCTGCTTGTACCTGAGAAATCAGTGAACTAAGTCCATTCAGATCCAATAGCTTGAGTAAATTTCATACATGTGAATTATATTTCAGTAATGCTACTTATTGGAAGCAAAAGAGGCTTCCACTTCCTAAACAACATGCCTCTGAAAACTCTGTGAACTTTGATAAATGTTGATAGTTGTAGAGGGGCTTCAGGCCTTTTGTTCATAGGGTCACTATGAATAGTGCTCAACTTGAAGGCAATCAACAACAGCAACCAACAACAATGCTACTTAAAACATTTATTCACATGATACACAGAGGAAGTTGGCTGTCAAGGACCTCGCCACAGTTATAAAGAGCAAGAGTCAAAGAAAAGACAGAAGTGCATCTGATCTAAGTCAGCCATGGTACTTTGAATTGCTTCCTAAGCATCAGAAAGTTGGACAGTGAGTAAGGATGACAGAAGAATCAATGCTTTTGAACTGTGGTGTTGGAGAAGAGTATTGAATATTCCATGGACTGCCAAAAGATCAAACAAATCTGTCTCAGAGGAAGTGCAACTGTAGTGTTCCTTATAGGCAAAGCTGGTGAAACTTCACTTCATTTGCTTTAGACATATTTTTAGGGGGACCTAGTCTTTAGAGAAAAACGTTATACTATAAAAATGGAGGGTCAGAGAAAGAGAGGAAAAACCTCAAGATGAACCAACACAGAGACCAGCACAGTGAGGTTGAGCGTGACAGATCGTGAGGATATATATCTCAGGAAAGGGCAAGGTTCTGAACTCTTCATAGGGCTGCTATGAGACCCAGTCAGCTTGATAGCATCTCATAGCAATGACGTCTGAAGAAAACGTGTGGTTGCAGCCAGCTCTCCCAATGCTCCTGTCTGCAGTTTGTCAGTGCACCTTCCAGGAGTGTCAGGCCGACTTCAATTCATCCTTTTAATTGTCCAGGAGCAGCAGTGCTAGAAGGTTAGAATGCGTGATCATAGAGATAGGAAAGTGGTTAGACCGATCTGAGAAGCGATCCATTTAAAGGGAGGGAGATTGTGATTGTGATAGCCCTCTTGCATTTTTAAAATTTGCTTAGGCAAAAAGCAAGCAACCTGGTGGCTTCTGCAAGTTCCTCCAGGGCCACTTCTGAGTCAACCAGCCTGCAGCCTCAGCACCTCCTGGGTGGTTCAGGTGGCCTGAATTCCCTCCCCTACAGCTGAAGCACACTGGTCCTTTCTGGGACTGAGAAAGTCTCATGCTTCTAATTCCACATGCACTAATGCCTCCTTTCCATTTTTCACCCTACTCTGCTGATGGACTTCTGCTGGGCCATATGTTAAATGTGCTTTCATTTTAGAGAATTGTTCTTAATCATGTAGACCTGGGGCAGTCCAGCCAACTTGTAGGGGGTAGTGTGAGAATTGAATGGATGGTGTAGAAACACCTGGTGCAGTCAACATGTTCCAGAAACATGTTGTTATTAAGCCGAGGCATACCTTATTTTATTGCACTTTGCCAATATTTTTTTACAAATTGACGCTTTGAGGCAGCCCTGCACTATCAGGGTTAGCAAGTCTGGTGACTCCGATTTCCCAGCTGAATGTGATAATTTCATTTCAGAATTACATTTGGTAATTCTCACATTTCAATTCTTCATATTGTTATCACACACCTACTAAACTACAGTATAATGCAGACATAGTGGGAAAGCAAGACATTTGTATGACTCTCTTCATAGCTATATTCTCTTTTAGTCAGGGAGCCAAATCGCCATTATGTTTGCAATTGATAATGATTTGATTGATAATGATTGAGATTTGATAACGGCTTGTACTTAATTTTATTATCATAAGAATATAATCAGATCAGAGCAAAGGCTCTAAAGCAGATAAATGGGAGAGACTACCCAAACTTTCTCCAATCAGCACAAGTCGTTTGCTTTTTTTTTTAAGTTAATGGTCTTTTATTGGAAAA